TAATAATACTAATAATAGTAATAATAAAAAGATAGATATAAAAATGCCTTTTTATGGATTCGAACCAGGGTCTCTACACTCACGTAGACAACACTCTACTTTTACGCTGTGAAAAATTTAAATGATGAAAAGTATGCTTTTTTCTAAAAGAATTAACGACAACCCTATGTATTAGAATTAATGTTAACAGATAATGAAAGGAACAGCGAAGTTGAGCAAACGTTTTTCAGTAGGACAAAAGGTTCAATATTTTGTTTGCTATTTTTCAATATTACAATTCCGTTGCTGCTGTATAAAAAACAACACACATTCTCTTGGTTTAAACATATTTATTCCTAAATGTATATATAATGTACACACAAATAATCAACAAACCAAATGCTTTACATAATTGAAAAAAGGATGAGATGTAGAACGAAAAACGAGTCTTATAAAAATCTACTCATTTAAACATTCGGTTACTTCAATTAAGACACTATATTTAAACGGCTAAAAAGCATACCATAGTATCTATCATATAAATAGACACATATTTTAACATCTAACACACCAAAGTTGAAGGTCATTTGATATCAGTATCTTTCCCTCCAAGGGGCATTACGTCCACTTCCTGTTGGTGTATTTTGTCGTTTAAATTTGAATCTCGCGTTTCCGGTAAAAACTGTTGTGAGACAAGACACAATACTGCGATTCCACCACAAACGAAGAACAACAATCCTGGTACATACATGTTCTTCATGAAAACAAAAAACCCACAGAGATATATTCAGAAAAATTATATTGGAGATAGATGAGAAATATGTTATGTTGAAAATAAAGTTTGTTAGAAAAGAAATGGAATGGAATATTATATTTACCGAAATTGAATAAACATGCCGTCATATTGCTGACTAGATGAAGTCAAAAAATCTTTAGAGATATCTGTCCGCGCCTTAAAGATTAACAGAAGGTCACCTGGGAAGTTTTAATCTATTAACCCTTGAACGTTCCAATCGTTGAAAATATTTATAAAATATTTAGGTAAAAGAAACTCTTTGCATCAACGAAATACATATTTGATGCTTATGGAGAGAATTAGAAGTCTTAATATATTTTTGTACAATACAAATCTGTGCTTAATTATACAAACTTTTTATTTTTTTGTTATTTTTCTTGATATAGCAAAACAAAACAATGTTTTCAATAAGCTTTTTTTTTCAGTGAATATAATGAAAGAGAGCTTGGGATTTGACATGATTTACGTAAAAAATGATGAGTTGACGTGATCAACAAAATGTAACCCAAAATGCCAATATCCTGTAGTTGTAACAATATTATCAGTAACATTAAATAAAAGAGGAAATGACGAAGTAAAAGAAGAAATGACCTTTATTTGATGTTGTTACCAAGTAAACAAACTGTGGTCATAGAATTGCACCAAAGCGGGCAATGACACCAATATTTCTGAAACAATTGCAAGTGCATTTATTGACAAATCACATAACACTGAAATATGCTTCATTATGAAAGTGATATTTTCCAGTCACCCCCGAAGCAATAGACATGTTTTAAAATAAAACGTCAGCTACTTGTAACAACAGCAAAACGTTATATTTTGAACGATTTCTTTGTGAATATTGATAAAAAGATCCCTCTGAACGAAAGGAAACAACATATTCTTTTTGAAAATTGCTGACCTGGTTTGATCCAGTATTGTTAATATTTAGGAATTTATCAATGTAATAACTCTTTTATTACTTCCTATACTTTTTGAAGACAGGCATTGAATAAAACACACCTTATAACAGTAGGGTAAACTTCTATTGTCATTGTCTGAACTGGTCCCCAAGCCATGTTGATGGTCATACTTGCTATGATAGCAAACATATTTGTAAGCAGGATACGATATTGGTAGCGATATATAAAAATTAGTCTAATCTCATACAATTATGTCTATCTGACACATATAGAAGTTAATGGCTAAATAAAGTTTTTTTTGTACATATTTAGTTATTTTATTCTTAATGAATAAAGGGCGTATTTTATAAAATGCCATAAAATTTTATTCCATGTCATAAAGCACATAAGTATAAAGTTTCCCGTAAAACATATCTGGGTGGTGCAACCGCCACAAAGTGATAAGTCCTGGAAAGGGGTAAGCCCCGACCCCATCCAGAAAGTACTGAATGTGACTAACACGGCTTAAGTTATAGAAGGAAAAATCGATATGAAGGCACCACACATCACCAACTTTTAAAATCGTACCGAACGTAGAATTTTGCAAAGGCAATTAAGTATAAAATGGTACAAATGGTAACTTAGGGAAGACTTGTGTTAACATAGAGTTGTAACGTAAAAACAAAACAAAACAACTAAAAACCAACAAACAAAATAAAAAAACAAAAACAAACAAACAAACAACAAAACATTAATATCATTTACTTACCGACCGAAAGACATTTTTGAAGTATATTTATCAACAGCTTAAGCTATTGCGGCCACAAGCCCACCAACTGCGACTCCAAAGAAGCAAAATATAGCTGCAATCCTTTGTCCAAATCTAAAATTTCAAATATATATAAAATACAGTACTTTTCATACAATATATTTTGAAAAACGAACATTACACACGAAATGATTACAAAATTCTAACAATATGTTCGTCTGTTCTTTTGTTCCTTCCATATGATTTTAGCGACAGCTTTTACAATATTTTGCTGTTTTGGGCAAGGGTATCTAGAAGACTGTAGACAGACTGATTAGAGAGGCAACAGTGAAACAAAACAAAAAATGAAATAGCAACGCTATTTTATGGTACTGTATTAATTAAATGTTGTGAAATTGGAACCAATGTGTCATTTTAAACTTTCATAATTTGTCTTACTTTGTTAAATTACATCTGACAAAGCTTTAATGAATTTGATGTTATAATGCTTTTCAAATGATGAGTAGATAAATATTTTGGAAAACATAAATACAGAAGAATCTATACGAGTTAATTATTTATATTAAAATATGTATCCTTATCATCAAGACATGGTGGTTATGCCAGGCTTTGATGATAATGATAGACTCTAAATATAGAAAATAGCGTAAATGTTTTCTACTTTTATCTTTTACTTAGATTATCATTGAGCGTAATCAAAAGAAAAAAACAGAAATACTTACGCTTTGTTCACTATTTTCTAGACTTGGAGACTGTTATAATCATCATAGCCTGGCATTATCATCATGCCCTGAATACATACCGTGTTGATGAATTGAAATAACGCGAAATGACGTCTCTTCCAAAGCTTCACTTTCCACAACAGTCGATGCTATTTTAGAAATTGTTAGTCATCTCCAGGAACAAGAAATCCGTGTATACTTGTGTACAATTTGTCCAAGATCTGACGTAGACGTCGCGCATTTAAATGATGAAATCCGTGCGATTGAACGTCAACCATTGCGAGATCGAGATGGAGGGCTCGTTAAACTGTTCTTTCACCGTGAGAGGATTCACCTTAATTGAACTAAGTCTAGAAAACTGGTATAGGCAATAAATCAAATGCTTAACATCATTGGTTTATGAGACGCATCAGTCTACACGTGCAACCAGAACACCAATATGGGAGTCGGACAGGCATATGGGTTGCTGCCATCAGCACTACTGACAACTGTGGTCGTAATAAACGCGTGACGGCTTAGAGCAGACTAACAAACGGTGTAATAAATGGCAGACGACTTGATTATGGACGGAATCAACCCCCTGGCCGACGAGATGGCAAGACATATACACTATTCACATGGACATTTTTGACAGGCACTCAAATGACAATATAAAGCACAGAAATTAGGTTTTGTTTTATAATTAGTCTGCTTAATGGCCGTAATTCATACAAATGTAAATGTTTTTATGAAAATAACTTGCAACATTTATAAAACAAATTGTATGAGGTTTTAAATATAAGTTACAGCATTAAAATGCATACTAGTCTTTTAAAGTACATTATCTATGTACATCGGTAACAGGAGAACAACGTGATAAAGTGATATCAACGATATTCTATATCTATAGATACTGGCATTTATAAGTGTTGTAACTGTTATACATGTAACTGCTTTCAAACTTGTATCCTTAAAATCCATATAAAACGAGTTTTGTTGATGATTTATTTTTCAATACTTTTAATACCGTTTGTACAAAGATTACTTCTTCGTTTAGAATATAATGATACTTGCTTTATCTAAATCTATTGGAAATGGAAATGAAATTATAAATCAACCTTATATCAGCACTTTGGACTGTTGTTCTAAGAGCTTGCGTTTTGCGTTTACTTTAAAATGTTTTTTAATAATGGTATTCTGTATTAGTTTTTTTGACTGTGTTAATTTTGTTAGTTTTTTACTTTGTAAATTGCAGATCAAAATGATGCACTGAAGAAAGTGTTATGTTTAATGATAGTTATTGATAAAATGAATCATATGAATGTTAAGTATGTGTGTTAAAGTGTATGTTAAAATTGCGATTACCATTTAATCATTTCTTTTACATGTTATATTTTCTTCGATTGATATGTGTTATTTTATGGTTTTTTTATTTTCAGACGGCCACATTGTAAATAAGATGTTACAATCTGTATATATCTTAGTGTGTAACTTTCTGTAAATAAAGTTATTAATTACTATCATTATGATTACTATAATTATTATTATTATTATTAAATAATAATAATATTATTATTATTATTATTATTATAGTAAAATTCACTTGCTGCTAAAGAAAAAAAAAACACACTCTCTTGTTTTCAAACGTATATATGTAATGTACACACAAATATTCAACAAATAAAATATTTTACATAATGCAATAGGATGAAAACGAAAGACGAGTCTTATAGAAATATTCTCCTTTAAACATTCACTTATTTTAATTAAGACACTTTATTCAAATGGCTGTAAAGCAAACCATAGTGTCTATATATATAGTGATAGATATTTTGGTTTGCTTTATACAGCCATTTAAATATATAGTGTCTTAATTTAAGTAAGAGAATGCTTATATATACATATTTTTACACACCAAAGTTGAAAGTCATTTAATATCAGTATCTTTCTCTCCGAGGGGCATTACGTCCACTTCCTGTTTGTGTAGTTTGTCGTTTAAATTTGAATCTCGCGTTTCCGGTAAAAACTGTTGTGAGACAAGACACAATACCGCTATTCCACCACAAACGAAGAACAACAATCCTGGCACATACATGTTCTTCATGAAAACAGATAAACCAACAGTGATATATTCAGAAAAATTACATTGGAGATAGATTAGAAAGATGTTATGTTGAAAATAAAGTTTGTTAGAAAAGAAATGGGATATTATATTTACTGAAATTGAATAAACATGCCGTCATATTGCTGTGTAGATGAAGTCAAAAAACCTATAGAGATATCTGTCCGCGCCTTAAAGATTAAACAGAAGGTCACCTTGGAAGTCTCGAACTATTAACGCTTGAATCGTTGAAAATATTTATGAAATATTTAGGTTAAAGAATTCTTTGCATCAACGAAATACATATGAGCATTAGAAGTGTAAATATACTTTATACAATACAAATTTGTACTAAATTATACAAACTTTTTCTTTTTTCTTTTTCTAGATACTGGTTGGAGAGTTAACTCTAAAGTTAACACTAAATCACTATTTTCTTTAAATATCTTTTTTTTTCATTTTTGTGAATATTATACATTTTTACCCACCTAAAAAAAAATTGGTTTAAACATTTATAATTATATGCCAATTCCTTTTTTGAAATGTAAACCGGTACTTACTTAAGGTCCTGAATAAGGTAACCGAAACGTGGCCTTTTTAACCCTGGACATTAGATAAAGTCGACAGTGGAGTCGACACTTTAATTTTAACATAAAAGCTAACTTAATTTTTAGAAACAATCATTTATTTTTACATTATATATGCTTTATCTAAGCCTTATTAACAATTTAACAATTTTTAAAGAAATTTTCCCAAGTCAGAACCATGTGTTAAAGACAATTCTAACTCCTGTCTGGAAGTTAAGTAAAAAGAACGTTTTGTGGCTGTTGTTGTGACAAAAATTGTGGTCAACACAAACACATTTAAAAGATTAGCAAATTAAAAAAATCTCATCACAGTCTATTCTTCTCCTGTATTACTAGGTGACCATGTGCTTGTTTTTTGACGATAAATAAAAAAATTAAACCAAGTGTCAGGGTTATCTTTGTGTCGGAGTTATCTCTCTAACCAGTATAGCAAAACAAAACAATGTTTTCAATGAGTGATATTTCATTTTGGTGAAAGAGAGCTTGGGATTTTACATTATTTACGGCAAAAACGACGGGTTGACGTGATCAACAAAATGTAACTTAAAATGCCAATATCCTGTTGTTGTAACAATATTATCAGAAGAGGAAATAACGAAGTGAGAGAGGAAATAACGTTTGTTTGATGTTCTTACCAAGTAAACAAACTGTGGTCCTAGAATTGCACCAAAGCGGGCAATGACACTTAAAGATCCGAAACCGATATTTCTGAAACAATTGCAAGTGCATTTAATGACAAATCACATAACACCGAAATATGCTTCATTATGTAATTAATATTTTCCAGTCATCCCTGAAGCAATAGATGATTTTATATAAGACATGTTTTAAAATAAAACGTCAGCTACTTGTAACAACAGCAAAACGTTATATTTTGAACGATTTCTTTATGAATGTTAATAAAAACGATTCTTCGATAGGAAAGGAAACAAGGAATTCTTTTTTAAAATTTTGACGTAGTTTGATTGAGTCATGTTTATTATTTAGGTATTTATCAAGGAAGTATCATTTTGAATACTTGATATACTTTTTTGAAGGATGGACAGGAAAACCATCATACCTTATAACAGTAGGGTAAACTTCTATTGTCATTGTCTGTATTGGTCCCCAAGCCATGTTGATGGTCATACTTGCTATGATAGCAAACATATTTGTAAGCAGGTCACGATGTGGAGTATCTGATAATGGATATACGTAAAAAATTGCCTTATCTATCATATTTTATGTCTATCTGACACAAAAATTGTATGATATATGTTTTACTGTCAAACACGGCTTAAGTTATAAAAGGAAAAATTGATAAGAAGGCACAACACCTGACCAACTTTTAAAATCGTATCGAACGTAAAATTTGGCAATATCAATTATGCATACAAGGTAAAAAAGGGAAGACTTGTGTTAACATAGTGTTGTAACGTAAAAAAGAAAACAAACAAAAACAAACAAACAAACAAACAACAAAACATTAATTTCATTAACCCCCACCCCCCGAATGAAATACATATTTGAAGTATATTTACCAACAGCTTGAGCTATCCCGGCCACAAGCCCACCAACTGCGACACCCAAAAAGCAAATCATAGCTGCAATCCTTCGCCCTAATCTAAAATGTCATATATATCCACAATACAATACTTTTCATACAGGATATTTTGAAAAAACAACGTTTGAATTGGAATGGTGACAAAATTCTAATAATGTTCATTTGTTTTTTTTCTATTGTTAATTTCGGGTTTAGAGTATCTACACTAAGTAAATAGAGAAAAAGAGAAAAAAAAGCAATCTGATTCCTCTTCATATTAATTAAATGTTGTAAAACTGGATGCAATGTGTAATGGTTTGAAATGAAGTATTCATTTGTCAAATTACAACTGACGAAGCTTTAATGAATGTTATGCTATAATGCCTTTCAATCGATGTGTATATAAATATTTTGGAAAACGATAAATACAGTAGAATCTATACGAGTTATTTATTTATATCACAGTATGTATCATTATCATCAAGACATGATGGCAATGCCAGGCTCTGGTGATAATAAAAGACTTTAAATCTTTAAAAATAGCGTAAATATTGTCTACGTGTATCTTTTACAAAGATTGAAATTGACATGATTTAAAGAAAAAAAAAGTAGAAATACTTACGCCTTTTCACTATTTACTTCGAGACTGTTATAATAACCAGAGCCTGGCCCTGATGATCTGGATACATGTACATACCGCTTTGATGATTTGAAATAAAGCCACCTATGTGTGGCATATTTACGACAATAGATCTTACCTATTCGTCAAATAGACCGTGATTATTTTTGCAGGTATGCTGACGACACTGAACAAGAACAAATTTAGGTAGATATTTCCTGCTAATGCTTGGATACCGAAACTTATACCATAGAATACCAGGCCAAGAGCAAACCTACATAGAGAAAGAATATTTTTTGCAAAACAATTCATTGAAAG